TTCCCTCAGCCCCCTCATTAATGGAATGAGGCATTCTCACCTGCCCGGTGGTGACCTCACCGATGGCCCTGAGCATGACAGGAAGGCGTGCGTGTGCGAGCACTTTGCAAAGTGCGGAGGGGACCGGGAGCACTGGGCGGTGATGCTGTGGGACATCTGTGATGTGGTGGGGTGGTCAGCAGTGACAGCTGGGAAGACAGGGCTGAGGTTGCCCTGATAGGTACACAGGGCAAAGGCGGGACCAGAGACCGTACAGCCTTGCACACTGGAGTCCAGTTTGGGATTAGCTCCAAATTTAATTTTCCATTTGCCTCTCTGACCGCCTAAACCCGCAGAGACATTTGGGGACAGGGAGAGGGGTGTCGAGCCGCTTTGCCCTTGTGCTCCGATGCTGACGCACTTACTCCCGCTTTCCCGTCTCATACAGTTAAGCAAGGGACGTGAGACTTGACCAGTCCTGGGCTCAGAGTGTGTGGAACAAGTTCGAGCTCTGCTGGAGCCTTTCCTCTCGAGCACGGTGGCTCTGGGGCTAAAACGTGAGCCGAGGGAGGCAGGTGGTGAGTGCAGCTCTGCCTCAGCAGGTCTGGGTCGGGAGTTCTGTGTTTAGAGATCCAGTCTACGAGGCAGCTCAGCGTGTGTGTGTGTGTGTGTGTGTGTGTGTGTGTCCCCCCGTGTCCGTGTCCGTCCATGTGTGTGTCCCCACTCCGCAGCTGGGGGCTAGCTGCTCTGAACCATGCCCAAGGGGAAAGTGTGTGTGTGTGTGTGTGTGTGTCCGTCCGTCCGTGTGTGTGTCCCCACTCCGCAGCTGGAGGCTGGCTGCTCTGAACCATGCCCAAGGGGAACGTGGCAGCTCAGTTAGTGACTGGGCCTTTGGTTCCCAGATGCCGTCCGTCCAGCCTGTGGGGGCGTGAGCATCTGGGTCTCAGCAAAGCCACCGTCCTGTCGGGCATCTGTCCTGCGCGGATGCTGAGGGGCGCATTTCCTTCATGCTTCCAGTGAGAAGGGGGCTGGGAGTTAGTTAGATTAGGACTCTTTATCCCCACTGTCCTTGGGCTTCACTTCCGGCAGAGACTAGAGAAGTGTGGCCCGTCCTGGCCAGCCCCGCCCTCCAGGCATGTGCACAATTCAGCCCTCCTGGGGGCGGCGCTGTGCTGGGCGCTGTTGGACAAGACACAGCTGGTTCCAGCGAGGGACGTCAGAAGACAACCGCTAGGTGAAGGGGTGGGTTTTTGGGTGGGTCTGAACGGACAGCAGCACTTGGTCCAGCAGAAATGAGTGAGCAGCAGAGGCCCGGTGGCAGGAGGTGCTGAGCGTGTCAGGGGCTGGAGGTTCTGGCGACGGTGTGTTCAGAAACGAGGTTGAGGGCAGCGGCTGGAACCTGATCACGAGGCCACCGGACTTTGTCCTCTCTGAAATGACAAGCCCTTGAGAGTTAAGAAGAGCAGCTGTGGCTGGCACTGAGCGACACTGGAACCAGCTGGCCCTGGGCCCAGGAGGGAGAGGACAGGGACAGAGGGATTGGGACGGATTCCCCAGGGGACGGTCCTGAGCTCGCCCCAGCCCTTTGCCTACCTGAGTCCTCTTACGTTAGGTAGCATTTCCTTCGTAAACCCCCACTACGTCCCCACCCCAGGCCCACCCAGGCAGGGGTCAGGAGCCTTTGCCCTGTGCTCCCTGTTTCCCATTTCTACAGCTTGAAACCAGACGAGACACTGTTCACCAGCACAGGAGTGAGGGAGGACTTGGGGGTTGTCGGAGTTTGTTGGAAGTTTGGAGCCAGAGCGAACGGAGGTGGGCGGTGCGCTTAACCTGCACGGAGCTGGAGGGGAGGCAGCTGGGTTGCGCCTTAGACCCCATGTCGAAGCCGGCACACTGCGAGCCGTGGCCCCACAATGCCGCTTGTGCCTCGGGAACGGGAGCCGCCGTGGGTCCATGGGGTCTGGCAAGGTCACCGCAGGGCGTCTGGCGCACGGCTGAACTCACTGACCCAAGAAGAAGGCAGGACGTGAGTGGCCCCATCTGCACCCTCCCCGTCTGTCTCAGGCTTTATTCCCTTGACCGGTTTGAAATTTTCATTAGAAGTCAAAGAATCGTTCTTTTCTTTCTTAATTTTGTCGAAGAAGCACATTCGGCTGCAGCAGTCGGCGTGCCCGCTTCCTGTAACGAGCTGGGTCAGGAGAGTCCTTGAACAGAGATGGAGTTTGAGCTGATCAGTGGCGTTCGGGGGTTAGGAGCCAGCTAATTTATAATGTCACACAGGCTAGACGAGAAGGCCCAAGAGGACAGACAGGCTGTCTCCCGGCGTTTGATTTCTTCATTTTGAAAACGAAAGGGAGAACAGAGGTGCCACGCGTGGCTGTTCGGCACTCAGAGGTGAACGCCGCCCGGGCCAGGCCATCAGGGCACCGGGGCCATTCCGCCTCCCGCTCCCCTTTGCCTCCCCAAGACCTTGCAGCCCCCGTGGCGGGCGGCACGCGCTGCTCCACATCCTCCGTCCTTTCCCAGCCTGGGCGCCGGTCCCTGCGGCCACCGAGTCTGGCTCTCACTGATTGGCAGAGGACACCTGTTCCGTACTTAGCTCCAGCTTGTGCTGTGCGTCTCCGTCTGGGTGCCCTCTGACACGTGAGCCCGCGGCCCCGTGCGAGGGCTGCTGCCGTGTGGCAGTCTGCGCGTGCTTCCGCTGGCTGAGTGGCCTGTGCCCCCCCCAGGTCGTGTGCCCGGTCACGATCCTGGGCATTAAAAGGAAACGAAACCACGTCCCAGCTGCCGTCTGACAGGTGTCACAGCTGTTGTTGACCAGTCGAATCTTCCACGAGAGCCCTTTACCGCCTGTTCCCACTCTGAGGACAGGCCTGCTTCCCCTTGAACTGGACGGGAGGGTGCCAGCGGGCGTGGACCCTGTCCGAGCACCTCTCGACTCTCGTCCCCATCACTCAGCTGGCACCTCACATGCACCTGTCTCGGGTGTGTCCATGTGCTCGCTCTCTTTAAAGACACGGATGCTTTAGCGGGCTGGGATCCCATCTGGCAGGGTTTTATAAAATGGTCCCCCTGTGTCTTAGGATCTTGATAAACCTCTTCCGAGGAGGAGGATGAAAATGGAGTGACCATCTGAGAAAGGACTGTCGGAGGAAAGGTCCCGTCGAGCTGCAGAAGCAGAATCCCCTGCCTGCCTCTGGGGCTGATTCTCTTCTCCCCTGTTTTGATATAGCGCAACTTTCTGAAACCGGTCTTTAGGCTTCAAAGATGAGATAGGACCAGGGAAGACCAGGGGTCCGGTTTCGATCAGGCCACGGTTACTCGGGAACTCCAGGGGCTGGGCGTGTGTTCTGCCGCACGGCAGCTCCCTCTCCCGTCCTTCGGAAGAGAAATTCATCAGTGGAAAGTTTCCCTGAAGTAGTAATTTTCCTAAATGACTTGCTGATGGCACTGCATACGGGCCTGCTCAGAAAAGAGTGGGTGACTCTGCACCTTCCTGCGGCCCCAGCCCCTCTCCCCGGGCCTGAGGGGGACCAGTGAAGACTGCAGTCTGTTCCCTCTGCCTCCCCAGTCAGCCACAGCCTGTTGGAGATGCTTCTCTACCCCCCTCCTGAATGGAAGCAGAGCTTCTCGGCAGAAAGCTCTCTCCAGAGGTCTGCCAGCCCCGCGGCTGCCAGAAGGCCTTATCCCCCCCAGCTAATTAGAGCCTTTTCCTTAAGCGGCACTTTAGTCTTTCATGTCATTCATCCTCACAGCGATAATGGACTTGGATAAGAGGTCACAGCTTCTCCCACATCCTGCTCTCCTTGTGCTGGGGGCGGGGGAGGGACGGGCTCAGCCTCCCCTTCTGGGGAGCTCCCGTCCTCCCGGCACAGGCGAGCCAGCTGGGGACTGGCCACCAGGCCCAGCAGCTGTGATGTAGTCACCCAGATCACAGGGCCAGGGCCTGACTCCCGAAAGTGGGCCCGCTCCCCACTTTCGGGCCTCCCAGCGTCTGCTGCATCTCCAGTGAGTGTCATTAGCATTTCCGTGATAAAATGGCACAGTGTAAATGTTAATAAGGTCTGATGCCTCTGCCGCTTCCAGGCGGCAGATTGGAAATGGTGCCAGATTGGAAATGGTGCCGTCATCGTAACCCCAGCCAGCGGCTTTTAATTCCTCCGCTCCCCGAGCACCCCGCTTGGCATGGAAACCGTGGTCTCCCTCGGTTCCCAGCCCAGCCGTCGCCACCGTGCCGTGTTTACCCCCTTTACTTTTGCAAAGAGGGTTGAAGTTTCCCACAGACCAGTTTTCTAAGACGGCCTTTGAATCCTTTTTTTTTTTTTTTTTAAACAAACACTCATTCTCCCCTGTTCTACAAAAAGGAAGAGGACCGAGGTGCTGGCAGGAGCCCACCCCTCTGGCCGGACGCCCACTTTCCGCCCGGCCCCTCCACGCTCGCCCTCCTGAACGCGGCCCCTTCCTTCCTTGGGGCGGGACGTTTCTCTGGGGGGTTCGTGCCGGAAGCCACCGGCTCTGGTTCTCCAGGGTTCCCTCTTCTCCTTAAGTGGAAACGTGGCTGATTGGTGACATCCTGATCGATCCTTTGAACTCTTCAGAACAGTGTCCCCTCCACCGCACCGCGCCACACCGTCAGGGTCCCCGCGTCCTTTCTCCCCAGTAGGCCGTGAGGGCTCTTGGTGCTCGATGCCGGGCTGTGCTGAAGTGAGCAGGTGACATCCCCAGGATGTCGCCTGGGACTTACCTGGCAGTCCCAGTGTGTCGAGTGGCAGAGAAGCACAGCCCTGGACCCTGGAAGCTCATGGGTGCTGCTGTCTGACCCAGGGTCAGCACCGGCCCTGGCCTCGTGGGTGGGGCGTCCTCCCCACACCGTCGGTGCCCTGCAGGCCGTCCGGCCTCTGCCCCACCCCGCTCACTCTCGTTTTTGTCGCCCAGGCCGTCTTCACTCTCCTCCTGGGGCCCTTTGCCTTCTTCGACGTCCAGAAGACCAAGTACCTCCAGATCCTGACCTCCCTGATGCGATGGATCGGTGAGTCCAAGAGACATCTCGAGTCCCCCTTGTCCCTTCCGTCACCTGTCCTAAACCAGCTGAGTGCGGGCTTGCAGCGCCGCCGGAATGGGGCACGGGCCCCATGGGCAGGAAGGGGCAGGCGCTCTGCCTGCCTTGTTACTGGTGGGGGAATTTAGTATCGAAGGAGTTAAGTCACCTTGAGGTCACATAGTGCAGACGGAGCTGGGGCCAGCCTTTTCACTCGCCCGTGCTGGGTCCTCGCAGCCTTTAAATGCCCTGACCCACGTCACACGACTGACCGCTGAGCCCTGAAGCCTGGGTCGGGCTCTGCCCACCTCAGGGCCTGAGGGTGGTTTCTCTCTGCGTTCTTGTGGGTGCATGTGAAGCAGGCCCGTGAAACCAGCAGGCTGTGGCCACCACCCACTGCGCCGTCTGCAGCGCCTTCTGACTGATACCCCGCCGAGCAAGAGCGCCGCTGTCCTCGGGGAGTGTGGGGGTCTCTCCCCTCACATCAGGGTGCAGGAGGGAGCCCGTTCATTCCGCGACACCATCCTGCCAGCCACCCAGAGGGGCAGGGCTGCTGACCCACCGGGACCCAGGACAGGAGGGCGTGGAGCCCCAGCTGCCCTGTCGGCCGGCACGTGCTCTGGGATCGGTTTCACGCCCGTTTTGGTCTAAAAACAAAAATGCTGTTGCTGTTCTGGTCGGGGCTCCCCACTCCTGACCCCCTTCTCCAGCTCCCTTTCCCACTGCGCACCCCTCATCGGGCCTCAGGCACACTGCGTCTCACTGGATGCCAGCGCTCAGCACCAGGTCATGACCAGCTCAGACAGTTTCTGATCCAAGTGACCTCTGGCTGTTCTGGCACCTCCCATCCCCTGGACCCCCCTCCCCCCAGGAGGAGCCACCGCCTCACGGGAGTCCCGGCATCTTCAGTTAGAAGGGGTGGCGGTCATCCTAGCCAGCTCACGACTCGGAGAGGCTCCCGCTCTCCTCAGAGGGGACGATGATCAGCTCTAGGACGTCCTGCCTCGGCTTGAGCCGGAACCACCAGCCTGTAGCGTCTACCCACTCTCGATCCTTTCTTGTCAGGCAGTGAGCGCAGGACCGAGTCATCTGGGGTGCGAGCGGTGGGGCCTCTGTAACTCGATGAGCCTGTCCATCACCATCCAGCCGAGACAGGGAAACGGGAGGACACCCAGCGGGTGGGACTCGTCTGCCCCATTCAGTGGGTCTGACCCTAGTCTCATCTGCAGGCTGCTCTTCCCAGATTTCATTCACAAGCTCCAAAGCTCTGGGTTAAATTAACATGACCGCCTGGGAGAAATGAGAATTCGCTGCGTACAAAGTGAGGGTCACGTGAGCTCCACGGGCACGATGTTGGGATGGAGCCGCCTCGGGCGTCAGGAGGGAGCGCGCCCAAACACTGGGGTCGGCGCTGTCCACCCTTCCCCTTCTAAGTCTGCTCATGGGGAGTATTTGAGAGCCCTAGCGACCTTCTGAAGGAGTTTTCTCAGTAAAGCAATGTTTGGGGGAAGATGTTCCCCCTTCTGGCTTCCCTGCCCCACTCTGTCCTCGGGTCCCTGAAAGTTAGCCTCTGCCCCCCCCATTGGTGGTCTGCGACCTGACGCTTCCGCGGTGGGAGGGGGCTCGTTAAGCGCCGGTGTCTGGTTCCTCTCCCGAGGCAGGGAGGGGGGCAGGCGCAGGGTGGGGAGAGGTGTAGGGGACGCCCGCGCCAGAGCCGCCGTGATGGATTCCCATGTCAGCCCATGAGGGATGGCCGCCCAGATAATGACAGTTAATGGCTTCCGGAGCACCCCGGTGCCTGTTTAGCGTGACGCACACATTCATTAAAAGGGAGAAGGTGGTAAGACGGAGAGAGGAGGCTGACAGAATTCGAGGCTTCCCCAGACTGGGGTCAGCACAGCTCCCACCCACGGAGGAGACCTGGAGCTCCCTGTGCCACAGGGGCCTCGGGGACATCTGGGAACAGCCCTGCCCCCTTTCCATGTTGGCGCCTCTCCGCCCCCAGAGCCGGGCTCACGGAGCGGAATCACTTGCTTCAGACAGTGGACTGCTCTTTCGCAGGGTGCGGGCAGCCCATCCCCTGGTGACCCCATTCTGCCTCTCCCTCTCCCTCTCCCAGCCAGGACCCCTCCCACAGGGACTGCAGTGGGGATCATCTGGGTCTCCCCCACTGAGATTCTGGGGCCCTCGGAGGCAGTCCCCTGCACCGCAGCACAGCAAGGTGGCAGTGGCCTTGAGAGATGTTTGGCCGTAGAGAGGGCTCGAGGTGGAGACCGGCTCGTGAAGGTCATCCACACTTGGGTTTGGGCGGTGACACTGCTGTCTTGACATCTCTGTCTCTGCACGTCATTTGCCTCTTTTCTCCCTTGATCTGAGAGAGAACCAGATGGCAGTAGCATCTCCAGAACCTTCCTCCAGGGCTCCTGCTGGTGACAGCACAGGCAGTCACCTTTCTCCTGGAGACGCTCAGACCTCTGGACTTGAAAAGTAAACCTCTCTGTGACACAAAGCCCTCTGAAATGAGAAAAAATCGCCTAGTTAAGTAAATGAAAAGATAGCCCGGTCTAGGCCTCAGTCCCCAGCTGGGGGCACTGCAGCCACCTGGGCATTTTCCCTTGTGGAGCAGGTGGAAGACAGCAGTGTGGCATCAGGAGGGGGGAAACAGACAAGGACCCCAGCTCGGCCGCCTCGTGGGAGGGACCACGTCTGCGCCCGGACATCTGTGAGCCCTCTGAGGAGGCCTGTCTCCTGGCCCAAGCGCATCCCAGGTGATTTTTCTAGAACTCCTCCAAAGGCAGTGAGCACCAAAGCCCTGTTTGTCCTCTCAAGTCTGCACCCAGTTGTCAGTTTGCAGTGAACCTCCCTTCCGCACGCACCAGCACACTCCGCCGAGAGCGAGAGAGAGAGAGAGAGAGAGAGCGAGCGAGAGAGAGAGCGCGCGAGAGCGCGAGCGCGCGCGCCGGGTGTGGAGCTCAAGGTGGCGATAGCTGGCTTGGGTTCTAGGAAGAGAAAAGGGAAGAATGAGCACCAAAGGGACCGGAAAATCATAACGTTCTGAGCCAGAAACTTTCTTGTGCTTAATTAGCAATTTGTTCTGCCATCTGTTGAAATGAGACCTGGGAGGCCCGCAGGAACCCGCCCCAAGCAGAACCCCCAGAGCTCAACACAAGCTGAGAAGCCTTGAGGTCCCCCCCAGGCTTCCTCTGTGTCCTCCTCCAGAAGCCCCCCCCCCATGCTGCCCAAATGGGATGGAGAGGGTTCGATGGCCTTCGCAGACAGCCTCTTGTCCAGGAACGTGTCAGGATGCGTATGTCAGGCGCCAACGTTGATACATTTTTTGCTCTCCAAATAAGTTCTGGTCAGTTCGGGAGATCCAGATTACAAATGCCGATTGGTGCAAGGATGTTCTCCGATTGCGCTCTGGCAGGTGAGGCTGTTGTTCAGGCCCTAGCGGGCTTCCTGACCAGCCCCGACACTGTCTGGCCGCTCACCGCCTGCAGCCACTTCAGGTCAGCTGCAGGCCCAGAGCAGACAGCCTGGGCTCTGGCCCGGGGGCCCCACCTCCCATTCACTCCCGCTGCACCTCCTCCCTGTGCTCGCTTCCACGGGTCAGCCAGTGTCCACTCGTCACATGCACCGACGGGCCAAGCCTGCCTCAGCCGGGGTCCTGGTCTGGCAGCAGCAAAGGCAGGGCCTCCTTCACGGAGTAGCCGTGAAGATAAATGGGATCGCATGGGAAGTGCTGTTAGCACAGTGTCTGGCACCGCCGGCCGCACGTTAGCCTCGTGCTGTCCTCAGTGTGCTTCCCTGCCATCGTCATCTCGGCCGTCACGCACCGAGAGTGGCCTCAGAACAATCTCTGCGGAGGCCATGAGGTCAGGGACTCGTTCTAAGCCACCCCCAGAAAGAGTTATGGCTCTGAGTGTCTCCGGTGAGACCTTGAAGCATCACTGGTCAGCTCCGTACAGCTTCCCCTGTGCCCCACCCCAGCCCTGGTCCCCAGGGCACACCCGGCAGGGCGCCCTCCTGCACCCCGCCAGCCTCCATTCCCACTGCCTTTGAGGAAGCTTGAGCCCAAGAAAAGGAAGAAGCGATGTGGGGGGCTCCCTCTGTGGCTTCTGGGTCTCGCTGTCAGCAGACCAGGGACGCTTCGAGACACGGCCAAAAGTCTTGTCCTTTGTGCCCCCAGGCCCAGCAGCTGTCGCTTCAGAGCCTAAGCCACTAAAGTGATGACTGTAGACGGTTCCCTGGGGACAGCCAGCAGACGCCTCCCAGCTGGGGACGTGAACAGCTGGCTCAGCTCGGGACACCCCATTTGGCATTATTAAAAAACTGATTCTTTCTAATAAAGACCGCTCTGGAGCGCGGCAGGGCCCGGGCCTGGGCTGTCGAGGACCCGCAGGGCCGCCGTCCCCCGATTGTGTATTCAGAGCAGCTGCCACACACACTGTTCCCGGCTCGGCCTTCCGCTCAAAGTGGGTCAGGCGCCGTCCTCTCCGGGCGAGCGTTCACGGATCAACTCGAGCCTGCCTCAGGAAGCTGCTCGGCCCTGCTCTCCCCACCCGCCCCCGGCAGGTGCCCTAGATCTGTCTTCCAGACCAAGCCAGGGGAGAGAGGTGGGACTCGGTGGTGGTGGTGGCCCAAGTGGCAGAAGGTCCCCAGGAGGAGACCATCACCTGGGAGGGAACAGAAGGGCTCTCTGGTTTTACCTGTCCCCATAATTATCTGTGGCCGCTTGGCTGACTCCCCTGCAGATCTGTGCCTGATCTCAGCAGAGTGTCTCCTGGTGGGACTGCTCTGATCTGTCACCATCAGCAGCCAGGGGTCTCCTATGTCTGGGCCATCTGTTCCTGTCCTGTGGGTTCAGCATGCCAGCTTGGTGTGTGCATTCCTTCACAGCTACTCAGTGCTGTCCACTCACTCAGCTAATGCTTCTCAGAGGGCCGGGAAGGACCCCCCCCGCCGACCCTTCCCAAAACGAAGGCACCCGT